GCCCGTTTCCTGTGATGAGGGACCCCACTGTAGCATCCAAATACGTGCCTGTCTGGAGAGTGCTTAACTGGCATCTTCCCCGTGACGAGCAACCCTGCTATGGCGTCCACAGCTGTACCTGTCTGGAGCAGGCTGGAGCGGCGTGTTCCCCACAATAAGGAGCCCCTCTATGGCATCCACAGCTGTGCCTGTCCAGAACAGGCTGGATCGGCGTGTTCCCTGGGACCGGGGACCCCACTATGTCATCCACAGATCTGCCTGTCTCGAACAGGCTGGATTGGCATGTTTACCATGACCAGGCGACCCCACTATGGCATTCACAGCTCTGGCTGTCGAATGGGCTGGGTTGGTTTGTTCCCCACGATGATGGGCCCCGCTATGGTGTCCACAGATCTGCCTGTCTCGAACAGGCTGGATTGGCATGTTCCCTGTGACTGGGGACCCCGCTACAGTGTCCACAGATCTGCCTGTCTGGAACAGGCCTGATCAGGGTGGTCCCCATGACGAGGGATGCCGCGATGGCATCCACTGATGTACCTGTCTGGAACGGGCTGGATCGGCATGTTCGTGTGACCGGAGACCCCGGTATGGCATCCACAGATGTGCCTGTCTGGAATGGGCTGTATCGACGTGTTCCCCGTGACCAGGACCCCACTATGGCCTTCTGTTTTTTGATAAGGTTGTCTAAATTTTTATCATTTTCATTTATTCTTTCACAAAACCATCTCTGATTCATTGATTTTTTGTATCATTCTCTTAGCCTCCATTGCATTGATTTCTGCTGTGATCTTTATAATTTCCTCTCTTGTATGAGCTTTGGGTTTGTCGTGCTCTTCTTTTTCTAGGAGCTTGAGGTTCAGCATTAGGTTATTTTAGCTCTCTCTGTTTTCCTAATACGGGCATTCACTGCTTTGAATTTCCCATGTAGAACTGGTTTCATTGTTTCCCATAGATTCCTGTATGTTGTACTGGCATTGTCATTTACTTGTAGAAACTATTTAATTTCTTCTTTAATTTCTTCTGTGACCCATTGGTTGTTCAGGAGGGTGTTATTCAATTTCCATGTGTTTGTGGGGGCATTGCCATTTCTTATGTTATTGATCTCCAATTGTATTGCACTGTGGTCTGATAATATACAGGGGGTAACTTCAATTCTTTTACATTTA